AATAGGTCTTCTCACCCTGTTCAGACCTTCCTATGCTATCCAAGCCCAGAATATTTGGTTATATTCTAATTTAATGTTGAATCAGGATAGAAATTCTAAGAAAGCTACACCAGCCTTGGTTACATGCATCAGAATAAAATCCAATTCCCACTGGAGAGGGTTTTTCCATGTGTCTTTAATTTCTGCACTTCTTTGCCAGGTTGAGCTCTTGGCTTTGTAGGAAACAAACTTAAGACAGCAGGAACTTTTTTCATTTTTAACTAGCATATGTTCAGAAGTGCCAAGAATAGTGCCTGCTACATAACACACTCTATAAATGATTAATGTTCCAACATACCTGTTGCATCTTAACCCTCAGTAAATATGCAAAACCTAACATAATTGACTTTACCTCTCAGTCTCTACATTCTTCTGGCTTACTGTCTACCTTCTGAACATAACTGATGACCCTATGACCTGACCAAACTTCCTCACACAATGAAAGTTACCTGTTCTTTGCAATTTCTTCCCCCAAACACAGGGTGTCCAACAGTGCATGAACCCTATTTCTGTTGAAGCTCATAAAAAATATACCTCTCTCAGAATCAGAATCTCAGTATAGGAGAATGAATGGAGCCAGTCAACTTCCCCTACTATCCAGAATCTAGGAACCTGTAGTGAATATTTTATCCTGTCTGTACTGTTTCAAGAGCCGAAATGTCAACACTAAACCACAGAACTTGTCTATTTTTTTCTCACAAAAGTGCTTAGATAAGTCTCTGTACACAGAAAGTACTCAGTTATGCTTGCAATAAATATGACATGGGGAGTTAGGAGAAGGGAGTTGGGGGAAATTGGAAGGGGAGGTGAACAATGAGAGACTATGGACTCTGAAAAATAATCTGAAGGGTTTGAAGAGGTGGAGGGGTGGGAGGTTGGGGGAACCAGGTGGTGGGTATTAGAGAGGGCACGGATTGCATGGAGCACTGGGTGTGGTACAAAAACAATGAATACTGTTATGTTGAAAATAAATTTTTAAAAAATGATTAAAAAAAAAAGGTATCCAAATGATGAATTTGAAAAACTAAGACCCAGAGACTGGAAGATAGTCACTGACCTAAGGTCCTTTAAGGATGTGACTTGTGGGAGAAGAACCTATAAGAAATGTATCTCATTGCACCATTCAAAAGGTGCCAGAATGATTAGCCTATCAGCAACTCTGGAAGAACTTGGAACTCCAAAAAATGGAGGGAAAAAATAAAATTTTACAAAGTATCTGTCTGCCTGCTCTAGGAATAGTAAAAGATTTTGAAGATCACGGATATTTTTATCTATGGAGTTTCAAGGGTATGGACTCAAATTTATAAATGTGAGATGCTTACATATTTTGTTTGTGAGATTTAAAAATCTATTTCCAAGTATAAATACTGAAGTATAATATGATTGAACTCATAGGGGATATAGCAAAATGTGAGTTTTTATTGGAGAGGGACATGAAGTGATTACCACTAGAAAGTCTTTGCTGATAATGATTAAGCAAGAGTGAAAGTTTGCACTGTTGTGACAATTTGTGCACACTTCTAAAACCAGTCTCTATTGTATCAATCTCTACTGTACAGTCTCTATCATAATACTCAAGTGGGTCTGTTTCAAAAAGAGTAGAGGAGAAACACATTTGTTTTCTCTTATTTCTTTGATTTAGAATCTTGAATTTCTAAGACCATATTCTTACTACAAAGATTATTTGGGCTCCATATATTTGAAATGGCATTGCAAAATGATTTCCTGTAGAGCTTACAGTGTGGCAGAGGTTGTTCTAAAGACTATTTTAAAGAATAATGCCAAAATAAATAGCTCTAATCTTTTTCCTTAATACACATTTCCTAAAAAAAATTTAAAAAGCACTAATTTCCTAGAAAGAGACAATTAGACTGTGGTGGAACTAGCATGTTTCAATAAACATGTCATTAATCAAAAATACATATTTTTGACCTCTCCCTGTATCTTTTTAGTTCAGTCCTCATTTTCTCTCTCTTGACTAATGCAGAAGCCTTCTAACTGGAACAGGGATACTGGAAAATTTGGGAAAAGAAATGATCAGTGAGAAGTGATGGGATCCATTTAGAAATAATCAGCCAAACTTCTTGGAGGTGAACTAGTGTCTGGCATAGAAAAGAAAGAGTCATCCTCTGTAGTGGAGGGAGTTTCTGGAGCTTGTAGACAAAATATTTGGGTTGGACTGTTAGGACTTCTACCTCTTCAGTTGAAGAGCCAAAATACTTGTAGAACATAAGGAATAACAATGGAGAACATTAGGAGAAGGAAAGGAAAAGTGAACTGGGGAAATCGGAGGGGGAGACAAACCATGAGACTGTGGACTCTGAGAAACAGAGGGTTTTGAAGGGGTAGTGTGGGGGTTGGGAGAACCTGGTGGTGGGTTTTAAGGAGGGCACATATTGCACGGAGTACTGGGTGTGGTACATAATGAATCTTGGAACACTGAAAAAATAAAATTTTTAAAAAGAGCCAAAATAGAGGCAATAAAGGAATTGGGAAAAGCGAGCAGGGAGCAGATACCAAGACTAGCTGTAGGAGGAGATTGAGAGTGCCCTTATCCTTTCTCACTCTCCACACCTGTTACCTCTTATTTCCCTTAGTCCAGCTCTGTTCGCAGTGCTTTGTCTGAAGTAGAATCCTTGGCCAGTCCATTAGCTTCATGCAACTTTAGTGGAAGGAGTTTGAGAAGGAGGGAGCTGGGAAGGGAGCCACTGGCTTTATCTTTGCAAACCTCTGATCTCCTCTGAAAAGTTTGTAGAAGCACAAACTGCTGCACTTCGGGAGGGTTTTCAGGGGCTCATGGAAAGCCCCGCCTCTTCTCTAGGGATTAACACAAGGGGACTCCCCTGACCCAGGGCTCCCACCCCTGGAGTTTCCTGCAGCCCAAACCCCTTACTCCTTTGTGGTACATATCATACCTCCCAGGGGTCATGCTTAACTCTCCAGACACCAAGCGCTTCAGGTAGATCCATGTGCCTTGGTCTTTAATTTGCTTCTGCTTACCTCTACCCGCTCCTTGCAGTATCTTCTAATAAAGAGAGCCTCATTAAAACATAATCTTCACCCAATTCCTGTCTGACTGTAACCTGCAAGGGGAGGATCTCCACCTTAACCAAGCATAATAAGATCAATATCTGATCTTATTTTGCATACATTCTATATATTGGCTGAAGCTAAGCAGATTTCTAGCTTGTAACTTTAGAATGACACTTCCCTGATCTCAGATCTGTTTCCTTTCTCTAAAATGGAAATAATTCCAATTGTTCCTAAATCACAGGAAGAATAGATGACTAACTATATAATCAAGAAGCCATTGTGATGTTGATGATGATGTGATTACTTATTAATAATTCAGATATTTATAAATAAGAGTGATAGTCTACCTACAACTGACTTTCATGCTATTTTTCAAAGAAGGAAACTAGTTAATACCAGGGTCTGCCATGGACTTTGCCCACTACAGTTTTCCATAACTTTAATTTTGAAAGATGCTTTTTTAATTATCTTTATTATGTCTTATTGTGATAAGAGGATAGCTCTCATATTAAGTGTTCTTAACAAATTTTTAGTGTACAATACATTATTGACTATAGATACAGTTTTTGTACAGAGTCATGGTTTTTTTGTTTGTTTACAAATTTGAGAAGGAGTAAACCAACAAATTTTGTTTATTTACAAATTTACAAAATTGAGAAGGAGTTAGTTATTTAAATATTTGGTAGAATTCACCAGTGCAACCCTCTTGTTTCTGGGTTTTTCTTTAATGGGAAGTTTTGATTACTGATTTAATCTTCACCCAAGTTATGCTTAGGGTTTCTATTTCTGCATGATTTAGTTTTGGTAGGTTATGTTTTAAAAGCAATCTCAAAGCTCTATGCCCCAGCTATACATATTCCCTTTTGACAGAAGTATGCTGGATCCTACTTTATCTTTCCTAACTTTGGCCTTGGTGTAATGTGGAGTCAGTACTCTCCCATGATAGATGATCACCTAGGATATTGAGACAAAGTGAGATTTCCACATAACACCTTCATTTTTTAAAGATTCATTTATTTATTTTAGGGAGCGTGCCTGAGCAGGGAGTGCGATGCAGAGGGAGACAGAGAGGATAGGAGAAAAATCTCAAGCAGACTTCTCTCTCTTTGGACATAGACATAAGTACAGCATGCCCATCTTAAATATATATATTTTCCCAGTACCCAGCATAGATTTGGTACTCAATGTTTTGTGACTGGATTATCAAGTAAATGAAGAATTCACATTCTTGGTGAAAACATAAGCTACATCTATTTTCAAAGAAAGTGTTGTATGATGTATAACGAAATGTCAGAGGACATGTTTTACTCAAAATGTTTAATGAAAGGGATTGGCCATGAAGATACAGAGGTCAAAAGAAGTCAAAGACTACATAAGCTGATTCAATTGAAGAAATAAATTTTAACAAGCAAAACTGACTTAGAACCTGTAGTGCTGGAAGATCATGAGGTCCCTCAAACTGGTAGTATTTAGCCAGAGACTGGACATCAGCTTTCAGATTATTACAGTTACTCTTGCCTCAGATGAAATTTTGGTCCTTCTCAGGTCCTAATCCCAGTGACTCTGGAGAAAAACCCAGGTTCTCAAAGTCTTAGTAAATGAAATTGAAAGCATCTTTGTGTCTTTAGATGACATTACCAAAGATAGAGTGAGTCAAGCCTTTGTCATGCCTCCTGATAGAGTGGGCTCTTTGGGAAGAAAGCAAAGTCAGCAGTTTGAATCCAAAGGCTACTAAAGGATATTGCACCATGAATCATGATCAGACTGATGACTGAGTTTTAGGGCATCAATTAATTTTTTTTCATTATACCAGGACATCATTTAGTTTTCCTCCTTGTACATGTAAACTCTGGCATCCTTCTATTTCCTCTCATACCCCTTCCCTGATTCCAGCATTCAGTCTGTCCCACTCTTTCTCCACCTGCCTCTCACTCTACACTTAGACATTCTTTCTTGGGAATAGTCCTAAGACTCGCTCACGAATCTGCTTGGTCTTGACACCATAGATGATGGGATTGATCATGGGTGGGAAGAGCAGATAGAAATTAGCAAAGAGTATGTGAACATGAGGAGCAGCCCGGCGAGCCACACGGTGCAGGACTGAGGAGATGACTACAGGTGTGTAAAAAGCTAAGATTGCACCTATGTGAGAGACACAAGTCCCAAAGGCCTTGTAGCGGGCCTCCTGAGAGGCAAGCTGTAGGACTGCCCGAAGGATGAAGATGTAAGACAAGATAACAAACAGCAGGTCCAACACCACTATAAACATGGCCACAGCAATGCCATAGATATTGTTGAAGCGAGTATCCCCACAGGCCAGCCTTACCACGGCCATGTGCTCACAGTAGCAGTGGGCAATCATGGGGCCTCGGCAGTAGTGGAAGCGTTTCAGCAGAAAAGGGAGTGGAGTCATTAGTGTCACAGCCCGAGCCACAGCAGCCATGCCAATCTTGATGATAAGGGGCCCAGTCAGCACTGTGGTGTAGTGCAGGGGCTTACAGATAGCCACGTAGCGGTCAAAGGCCATGGCCAGCAGCACTGCTGACTCCATGATAGAGAAGGAATGGAGAAAGAACATCTGGACCAGACAGCCATAGAAACTGATCTCCCGATCTCTGAACCAAAAAACAGCTAACATTTTGGGAAGTGTTGTAGAAGAGAGGACCAGATCAATGGTTGCCAACATGGCCAGAAAGAGGTACATGGGCTCATGGAGGGCTGCATCAGCCTGAATAATGAAGAGGAGGGTACAGTTGCCTAGCAGGGCTAAAGTATAGGCTGAGCAGAAGGGAATGGAAATCCAGTTATGTAAGTGCTCCAAGCCTGGGATTCCCATTAACACAAAGACTGCCGGATGGGTTGAGGTGATATTGGAAGCTGATGTGGCCATTGGGAATTTTCTTCCTATTGTCCACTTCCACAGGGCTCTTCCAGAAGGTATCCAGTATCAGCAGAATTATAGCATTCAATTTCAAACTCTGACCATTCACATGGAAGGATTAGCTCTTGATCTCATTTCTAGTCCTTCAATTAGAAAATAATCCTAATATACATTATGAGAAATACATGATCTCTGCCCTCAACATGCTTAAAAATCATTGGGTAAGGGGCACCTGAATGGCTCAGTGGGTTAAAGCTTCTGCCTTCGGCTCAGGTCACGATCCCAGGATCCTGGGATCAAACCCCACATTCGGCTTTCTGTTCAGCAGGGAGCCTGCTCCCCCCTCCCACCCCTGCCTTCCACTCTGCTTACTTGTGATCTGTCTGTCAAATAAATAAATAAATTATATATATATATATATTTTTTTTTTTTTAAATCATTGGGTAATCAACATTCAATACCAATTGAGCGAATATCACAAGGCACTCTTCATTAAGGAATTGAGTGGAAAAAGAGCTTTCTGTGGTCTTTGTGTAGCCCAGAACCACTTTGTAAAAGATAAAGATCCCTGCTATGTTCAAATCTTACCCAAGACATTCACTGTCTTCCAGTTGGCTCCAAATTCAGGCTGCATCTCTAATTATGAAAGGAGTGTCTCTGTCCTTCAGATGTCTATCTTGGCTGTATGAAAAATAATTAAGACTAGCACCTTCTAATATTTCACTTTCCTCCATATTCTATAAATTTTTCTCTAGCAAGTGTTCCATAGGTCTTTATTTAATGCTCAGCAATCTCACCAACTAAAGGCGTATTTGCAGCCAACTTGAGAACATGAAAAGACCTATCATTGTTTTCCTTCACCTAACTTTAACTTCCATTTCTACGTGCTTCTACCTTCACCCACTTTTCTTTCTAACATCCAGGACATTCAAAGGAAGAGATGCTCCACTCCTACCTTTTTGGAAGACTGAACTTTACACCATTCTTTTTCCTTCTGGGATCCTTTATCTTTCTATCTCCTTTTTATCCCTTTTATCATTCTCTTTGAAAAAGCTTAAACATTTGTTTCCCAGAAATTTGATCTGAGCTTCCTTCTCTTTTTTCTCATTTTATATTTTAAAGGTTTATTCTGAGAATGGAGATATCATTAAACAATTAGTCCAATGGATAAATGGATAAAGAAAATGTGATACACACAGGAATATTATTCAGCCATAAAGAAGGAAATCTTACCATTTGTAGTAGCATAGATGGAATTTGAGAGCATTATTCTAAGTGAAATAAGTCAGATAAAAAATACTGTACAATTTCGGGGTGCCTGGGTGGCTCAGTGGGTTAAGGCCTCTGCCTTCAGCTCAGGTCATGGTCTCAGGGTCCTGGGATCAAGCCCCGCATTGGGCTCTCTGCTCAGCGGGGAGCCTGCTTCCCCCCCACCCCCACCTGCTTCTCTACCTGCTTGTGATCTCTGTCAAATAAATAAATAATATCTTTTTAAAAATCTTTAAAAAAATACTGTACAATCTCACTTTTGTGTATAATCTTTAAAAAATGAATAGATAGAAAAAGGAACCCTCATGCAGTGTTGGTGGGAATGCAAATTGGTGCAGTCACTCTGGAAAACAGTATAGAAATTCGTTAAAATTTGGAAATAGACCCTATGATCCTATAGTCATAGTACTGGGTATTTACATAAAGAATACAAAAACACTTCAATACAAAATACAAAATTCAATACAATGCAAAAACAATTCAAAGGGATACATGCACCTCTGTTTATTGCAACATTATTTATAGTAGCTAAATTAGGGAAGCAGCCCAAGTGTCCATCAATAGACAAAAGGATATGGAAGATGTGGTATATATACACAATAGAATATTATTCAGCCATAAAAAATGAAATCTTGCCATTTACAAAAACATGGATGGATCTAGGGAGTATAATGTTATGTGAAATAAGCCAGTCAGAGAAAGAAAAACACTGTATGATTTCATTCATATGTGGAATTTAAGAAACAAAACAAATGAACAAAGGGGAGAAAAAAGATAAACCAAAGACTCTCAACTATAGTGAGCAAAGGGTTGCCAGAGGGGAGGTAGGTGGGGAATGGGTGAAATAGATGAAGGGGATTGGGAGTATCTTGATGAGCACTGAGTAATATATGGAATTGTTGAATCACTATGTTGTACACCTGAAACTAATAGAATACGTGTTATTTACACTGAAATTAAGATTTTTTAAAAATGAACTCAGGAACAAAACAGATTTATGGCTACTAGGGGTGGGAGAAATAGGTGAAGGTAGACAAATGTACAAACTTCCAGGTATAAGTTCTGGGGATGTTCTGTACAGCCTGGTGACTATAGTTAATACTATAACATATATTTGAAAGTTGCAAAGAAAGTAGATCTTAGAAGTTCTCACCATCAGAAAAATATTATAGCTATGTGATGTGATGAATGCTAACTCGACTTATTGTAGCAACCATTTTATAATATATCAAATCATTGTTGAACACCTCAAACTAATATAATTCTATGTCAGTTATATCTTAAAGCTGGAAAAATTTCATTTTAAAAATAAAAACCGTTAGCACAAATCTAGAATACCAAACTGTGGAAAGAACCAAGATGCCCTTCAATGGACGAATGGATAAGGAAGATGTGGTCCATATGCAGTATGGAGTATTATGCCTCCATCAGAAAGGATGAATACCCAACTTTTGTAGCAACATGGATGGGACTGGAAGAGATTATGCTGAGTGAAATAAGTCAAGCAGAGAGAGTCAATTATCATATGGTTTCACTTATTTGTGGAGCATAACAAATAGCATGGAGGACATGGGGAGTTAGAAGGGAGTTGGGGGAAATTGGAAGGGGAGGTGAACCATGAGAGACTATGGACTCTGAAAAACAATCTGAAGGGTTTGAAGTGGTGGGGGGAGTGGGAGGTTGGGGGAGCCAGGTGGTGGGTGTTGGAGAGGGCACAGATTGCATGGAGCACTGGGTGTGGTACAAAAGCAATGAATACTGTTATGTTGAAAATAAATTTTTAAAAAATGATTAAAATAAAAAATAATTAATTTTTAAAAATGTGCTTAGTAAATATGGGCATTTTTTTGAATTGCAGAAACTAAAAGTTAAGTTACTGACAATCACATATTTAGAAAATGTCAAATATTAAACCTGAACTTTGAGAACTCTTGTTTCCTGCCTTCAAATCCAGTGTCTTAAGTTGCTATGTTCTTCCTCTACCTTGTTGTTCCACAGACAGTTCAAATTCAGCATGTCCAAGTGAAAGAAATAAAACTCTAACTCCTCACCATGGTATAGGGAAAAGTTTTAGAATTCTAAAGCCTTAGGCATGAGTAATGATTGTGTCATCAGTCTACCAGCAGAAACTAACATTAATCTCTGATATTTTTAAAGTTTTAGCTTCTCGACCTATAACTGAAGGCAATAACCATACTTCCCATGACATACTTCCCACAACCATCTCACCAAGTTTTCTGGTGAGGAAAGACGAAAACATGTGAGAATAGACCTCGCAAACTGTGACCCATTGTGCACATGCTATTTGTCCTTACTGTCTGTCCCCCTTTCTACAATGTTTATTTTTATTAATATCAGCAACATCATGTATTCTTTGGCTTTGTCTCTTCCATCTAATCACCCCTTAACTTGATTCCCCTTCACAAATTTTATAAAAACTTGATTGTATTTGATCTCTACTTCCTCATCTCTCATTTAATTTCCAATCCTTTCTAAGCCACCTTCCATCTCCACTCCTTCCCTTATATATTTTCTCCTCACTCTCTCCTTCTCCTTTTCTGTCTTCTTTTATTCCCTCTTTTATTTTCATATTACCTTACTAGGTGCTCGCTTTTGTTCCGCTTGGCTTTTTGTTTTTGTTTTTGTTTTACCATCTACATTCAGGGGATTGTCAAATGCATAGCTTCTACTCTGAGTTCCAGACACGTGTATCCTGCTGCCTATTGGACCTCTCCACTTAGATGTTCCACACTCATATCAAACAATACAGCCAAAATGGAAATTTTTTTATCTCCCCACAAACTATTTCCTCCCCTTGCATTGTCCATCTCAGCACATATTCTGGCCATCTATCCTGTAGCAAGGTCAGAAACCCAGGGATAATCCTTGATTTAATCCTTTCCCCCTTCCTTAGTATGCAGTTCATTAGCAAATCCTATCAATCTGAAAAAATGTAATTTACTCCCTACTCTTTTCCTTATCCCCTGACAGCATTCTCATTTAATTTACCATCTTTCATCTAGACCACAAAGGCCTTATAACTGGTCTCTGTGGTCTGAATCTTGGGCACTTCACACCCCATTCTCTATACTATAGCCAAATAATCCATTTAAACAGGCAAATTATACTGGGCCAGGACTTGTCTCAAGACCTTCATGGAATTACCATTGCACTGAGGATGAAATCCACACTCCTCACTCTGGTTTACAAGTCTCTGCATGGTCTGGCCACTGTTCACTATTCAGCTTTATCCCCTCTCACCTCTCCCTTCATTATGCTCTAGTCATAGACTCCTACCCAATGCCAAAGCTCCTGGAGCTCTTTCTAAGTCAGTGAAGCCCCTTGATCCTGCCCCTAAATTGTCTCCCATGCTGCTTTTCTCCTCTCAATGACTTTTGTCTTCCCAGATTCATATCACTGGCCTGTGTCACTATAATGACTACCCCTTTAAATAAGTTAAAGATGACACAAAGAAATTCCATTCTCATGGGTTAGAAGAACAAATTATTATTAAAATGTCAACACTATCCAAAGCACAAAGCAATCTACAGATTCAATGCAATTAAGGTATCACAATCCTAGATTTCGAGATATTCTACAAAGCTGTAGTAACCAAAACAATATGGTACTGGCACAAAAATAGACAGATCTGTAGAACCAAATAGCTCTCCCCTGGCAAGAGAGACAAAAGCAAAATTAAACCATTGGGACCGCACCAAAATGAAAAGCTTTTGCACAGT